AAGAAATATCAGTTAGTACGTCTGGTGCCTTTGTGTGTCAATAAAATATTCAGTTTGTCTCTCTCTAATGATTACGATGCTTTGCTAAATTGGCCAAACAGTAACAAGCCTCTTCCTTGGTCGTAACGTTGGTGCCGATTGTGTGGATATAAACACTAATAAGATCGATTAGAATAGAATATTTTTAATAATAAACGAAAGAAAAAAATTAGAACGAAGATCGTTTTGTTAGTGAAATTGTAATATTAATTAAGTGGAACAAAAACCGAAGATCGGCTTGTGTTAGAAAAATAATTGGATCAGTGAAAATGACTTAAATCTGCGTTGTGAAAATTAATAATATAATTTGAATAATTGTGTTAGATTAGAGTTAAAAAGGCAATAAAGAATTAATAACATATTAGTAATGAATGATAAAGAAATTAATTAAAGGCTTGGACGAATGAAACAGTAAGCAGATATATTAATGACAACTTGACAAAAAGCCTTGATGCTAACGACGATGGGCCTACGGACGAATATATGACTTACGAGCCAGTAAACGCATCCAAGAGTGGTAATAAAACTGGCAAGGAGAAAAAAAATGTATCTATAGTGAATGCCGATATTATTATGGACCAAAGCTATACTTCTAAGGGCAATAATATAAAGACCAACATTAGTCTTCTGAATACACCAAATGATGGTCCTGATCAACAAACTCAGCAGATTTTACAAGCAATAGCTGATGCACTAGAGTTGAGAGCCCAGCCAAAAGAGCAAATCATAGTCAAGATTCCTACGTTTGCTGTAGGAAATCAAGACCCGATAGAATGGTTGGAACTTGTGGAACAAGCCTTCGAGGCAAATAATATTTCAGAAGAACGAAGGTTAGCAGTAGTCGGTCTGCATCTTTCCAGAGCAGCAGCACTATGGTGGGCTAGGGTAAAGTATAGAATACAATATTGGAATAGTGACCTTTTGCCACGACAAAGTTTTGCTCACCAATTCCAGCAAAATTTCTGTTCCCAAACTTTAATTAGCCAATGGAATAACGAATTGTTGATGAGACGGCAACATGTTGGAGAGACGGTAGATCAATACGCTACCGATATGTTGTCCCTAATTAATCGTGTTACTAAAGTTGGAAGTCAATATCTGGAAGTAGTGAAAGCACAAATGTTTGTGTAAGGACTACGTCCTGATTTGTCTTTAGCAGTGGGGCTGTTTATGTCAAATACATTGCAAGAAGCGATAGATCGGGCTAGGATTTGTGAGATAACTTTTGCCTGTGGACTAGCACTTTGTGGACCTGCGGCCATATATAACACGGTATCTGGTACCTCGGCTTTGCAACAATTGTTTGTGCAGCAACCTGTGGCTTTACAACAACCCCGATATGCACAATATCAGCCAGCACTACAGCAACAAGTGACAACACAGCGTGCCAACTACTGCTATACAAGAAGCCTGCCATCAAATGGTTATATGAATATGAACTCGATTAAGTCTATGGAGCACGTGATTATAATACTACAGGAAGTAGTATCAGCCGTAAAAAATAACAACGATAGTAATAATCGTTCACGCCCTGGAGATAATGGGAACCGTAGAGAAAGGAATGTCTGTGGGACTACTTGCTTTGCTTGTCAGCAGCCAGGACATTTTGCTAGAAATTGTCCGAATATGACCCAACAAATTAACGAAGGTAGAAATAGCTCTTCATGGTATAATGTTCCTAATTCCAACAATGTACAACCTACTAACCCTGTGGTGACAAATGCGAAAACAAGAGCGCAAGCCATGTGGGTTGAAATGAAAAATGACCTTGAGCATTTAAACTACACAACACACCTTTAGAGGGTGAGTGTGCATTGACATCAAGAAATCTCTCGGTAGTAAAGATTGAAGAAGCTTACCTTGCTAAGAGACAACGCAAGGATGATAATGAGCAAGATAATGCTGATGCCCCATCTTCGAACAAAGCCGCTGAAAAGGATGAACGAGAAGAAAAAAGGCAGAAAATGACAAGAAAGAAAAGGTCAAAACCCATTGATCCACAAGTAGTAACAGGCATCCCACCGTACTCGATAATGTCGGACTTGCAGAAGCAAAAAGCTGACATAACCTACGCGCAATTGTTCTATGTGGCGCCTGGAGTATGAAAAGAGGCTTTGAAGATATTACGCACTGGAAGAATTGTTAGGCCGAAGGTTACTGAGTTTCGGTTGAACAGTACCGATAGGAGTTACACCATGTCAATGTACTGTGAAGCTCGGGTTAACAATGAACCGATAATTCTCATCTTGGACAGTGGGTCTTTGGGTTGTATTATATCACTGGATTTTTAAAGAAGCTTGGAATTTCGATCAATCATCCATCTACAATACTAATGACGGGAATCTACGAAGAACAGAAGCGGCCCTTGGGTGAAGTCAACCAGTTTCCAGTAACAGTAGGAGGAAAAACCATAACCTCACGTGCTGTTGTGACTGAAGCTGGAAACTACACAGTGATTGTCAGGAACGATTGCTCGAGCACGATTGGATTGGGAGATCTGCGAATTAACTATATGGGATGGTGACAAGAAAATAAAGATCCTGACCGAATATTGTAAGCCAGCTAATATAAATGAGCATATAATAGGTAAGATACCTTCTAAGAAAAAACCTGAAGCAAAGCATGAAGAAAAATCGAACGAATCTGATGACGAAGAAGATGAAAGCACCAACGAATCAGACGAAAATGAGAAAAACGCTGAGACCGACGACGATGAAGCATTGTTGAACCAAGAATATTTGTTCCACGAAATGCAACCTCTGTCAGATGGGTCTGCAAAACTATGTGGATGATGTATGAAGAAAGAACACGATGCCATCGATTGTACTCTAAAGAAGCCATGGGAAGATAATTGGGCTGTATGCCTTTTTAGTAAAAACGAAGGGTCGATTGATAAGTTGAACGTGGGCAAAATGTTGATAGGACAAAGACGCCATCTTGAAGAAATGTTGAAAAGACACCAAGGTTTCTTTGCACGGGAACTTTGTGAACTAGGTCGAACGACAGTTGTGTAGCACAAAATCCATACTGAAGAGGGACCATCGATTAAGCAGCGATTCTATCCTACATCCAAAGTTAAACACGAATTTATTGAACAAAAAATACAGCAGATGGAAGAGGCTGGTTTAATTCGACCATCAAGCAGTTCGTGGGCATCCCCGGTCGTCCTGGTGAAAAAGAAGAATGGAAAGTTACGCTTTTGTGTTGACTTTCAAAAACTGAACAAGAAAATAAAATAGGATAGTTATCCTTTGCCCTGAATTAATGAGCTCTTAGGAGCCCTAAAGAAGTCTGCCTGGTATACGACACTGGACCTTGTAAGTAGTTTCTGGCAAGTCGGAATGCACTCTCGTGACCAGAAGAAAACAGCATTTACTACGAAGTTCAGCCTTTATGAATTTGTAGTAATGCCTTTCGGCTTAATGAATATGCTAGCCACTTTCCAAAGATTAATGGATCGTGTCTTGTATGAAGAATTGTGGAAGTTCGCCTTGGCTTACATTGACCACGTGAATATATATTCACTGGACTTTGATACGTATTTAATTCACATCAATACCATATTGGAAAGGCTGCGGCAAGCCAACCTAAAGTTAAACCCGGACAAGTGTTTTTTTGAACAAAGACAAATTGAATATCGAGGACACGAAATTAGTGAAAAAGGTGTAGCAGCAGCAGCATAAAAATAATGGCAGTAAAGAACTTTCCTGAACCAAAGAATGTCTGAGCGTTACGTGGATTTTTAGGACTTGCGGGTTTTTACTGTAGGTTCATAAAAGACTTCGCCAAGGTAGCTACGCCACTATATTGGTTGTTAAAGAAGGACATCCCCTATCAATGGAAGAAGGATCAAAAAGAAGCATTTGACGAGTTGAAGCTACGATTAACGACGGCTCCAATCTTAGCACACCCACAAGACGAAAAAGAGTTTTTGCTGTATACTGACGCCTCTCATATAGCCTTTGGCGCGATTTTAGTACAGCTTGATGAGGAAAGTCAAGAACATGTGATAGAGTATACAAGCAGGTCAACAAAGCCTGCAGAAAAAAACTACACAATTACAGAATTGGAGTGCACTGCTATCATTTGGGCTGTGAAGAAGTTTTACCAATATCTACATGGGGCTCAGTTTACACTGATAACGGATCATAGTGCATTGGTTTATTTGAATAATATGATGAACCCTACTGGAAGAATGGCCCGCTACATAATGTTGTTGCAAGGTTACAACTTTGTGGTTAAACATAAACCCGGAAAGCAATTGGGTAATGTGGATGCACTATTAAGAATTATGATTGACCCAGAAGGAGACCCGACAATAAAGAACGAAGAGGGTGACAAGCAAAAATAACAAACAAAAAAAAAAAAAAAAAACTTTAATATATATACTGGTTACATTTATTTTAAGCCACACTACTCAATTTATTATGATGAAACTGGAATAAATTAATTGACATACAAATGCAATTAGAATTGGATCAGTAAACAATTACCTTAATACGGGGCACGTAATCAAAAAAAAAAACAACTTTGACACTATTTACACTTGTTCTAATCTAGATTACTTAGTACTGCAAATCAAAATGTGAAATAGACTAACAACATACAACTGGAATTAAATCTATAGACAAATGATCTGGCGTGGAATCACATGATGTT